GGCATTGGTAATTAAACCTAAATTATTGGTAACTAAATAATAGCTAGGGTGTAGGTATTTTATTATGGCAATAATATGCAAGCATTTTGACCATTTGCAAGATGTAAAGATCAATGTATTGAGTAGTTTTATATGAAACCTCAATCATTTAAATAAAAGATTTTGAATTTCATAATTACTCAAATAGGACCCTTCACTATATATGTATGTAGCAATTGTCATTACTTTAAAATTCTATATAGACACATAAATATAGGGACATGTATGTATATGTATCCAATATTGTGCATCATGAGGTTTGTATTTAATTTCAATTTTTATGGTTCAAATTTCAATTTATTAGTTAATTTATTAGGTTTTAGGGTTCAAATTTCAATTTATTAGTTAATTTATTCTTGTCTAGTTTTGTAGTTCTTTTAAGACTTTTAGGATTGTTTTATTTTATTTATTTTCATTGAATCCATTATTTTTTTATTTATAGTAATTTAAAGTTAACAATATTCTAATTTTTGATTTGCTCATTGAGAGTGCCCTTGGATGTTTTTTACAATACATTATTTATTCAGATAATTAAAATATATAATTTGTGAATCTCATTTTTTTTTTCAATATAAAAAAATGTGAATAAAGGAATAGAGGAAATTAAATAACTAAATAGTACATTTTCTTATTGATGAATGAGAAAATAGAGAAATGTTAAGGTCCCGTTACAGAATCAGTCCGTCGTGGTTTGTAACCGTTAGATCATCATGTAATTGTCGTGGATAATTGATCTAATAGTTGTAAACTTATATAATCGTCGTAAAAAATTGATCTAACAATTATAAACTCCGACAGAATGATTTTGTAACATATCAAAAATATCCCGAAAAAAAAAGCAAAAACATATCAAATCCGTCTTGCCCCCGCCCCTTATCCATATGTGCGGGATATTTTTGCGCCCCACACCAACCAAAAGAAAGTCCAAAAATGAATACAAAGACTTTGGCACGTGCGAACCGCGAAAAATATCTGGCTGGCATCGGCGGAAGATATTATCCGACGTGGCACCGACGGCCTTCACTGACACGTGTAAAAAGCGCCTCCAAAGTGGAGCCGCTTGCCTCCGTTTCTTTCTTTTCCCGAGGGTTTTTCTCCTTTTTTTTCCTCTCGTTTTCTCCAGATTTTTTTGTTTCTTTTTTTTCGTTCTCGATTCAAATTAGTGCTGTCACGCGTTTTGATATGCTGCGTGTCGAGGGAGATTTCCGGCCGGAGGCGCTGCGTCGGCCCCTGCCGTCGGAGGCGGATGTAGCCTGCGATCGTGAGTTGACTCGCTCGAGGTCGGATGCGTCGTCTCTCACCGCCGATGACCGGAAAGCTGTTTTTCGCAGCTCGGAGGATGTGGCGCCGGTAAGCTCCCTCGTCTCTCGTTCTGGAAATTTTAGGTTAATCGAACTCCGATGAGTGACGTGTTTTTGTATGTTGTTTATTCGCTTTCGTTAGGAGGCTGTTGGTGTGCAGTGTGCCAGTGTTTGTGTATAACCTAATTGCATGTGATCCGTTTTTAGTGGCGTTTTTTTTTTTTTTTTTTNTTTCTGAGATGTGTTGGTAAAATTGATGGAGCTGGTGAGTAGTTAACTATGGATTTCATGTGGTTCTTAAAGATTTTTGTATGCGCTTCACTTCTGAAAAGCTCAGTGCTAAAAGGACAAGCATGAGAGGTGGGTTTTGACCTGAAAGAGATGACTATATGATGGTGATTTTTGTGGACTGAGTAATTTTAAATGTGGATTTGCCTTGTTTCGATTTGATGTGTCTTATGAAGGACAATGTGTTACTGTGATATGGAAATAAGACACAACATAAATGTCGAGCGCATTTGTCGATTAAATTACTGCCACGTGGTTATCGATTGTGCACGTGGAAGCAATCTTTCATCTACTGAAATTAAAACTGAAACTAATTAAGTATATAATGGGGTGACATTCGGAACGTATTTAATTGCTCAATCCTAGTGATCTTTTCTGAATATTTGGCAGGTTCTATTAACTGCAGAGTCTTTAATGGTAGCTTCTCGATGAGACGGTATAATGGTTATCACGTCTTTTGTCTACTTAATTACGTAGAACACTTAAGATGGTTATCAGGAAGAAAGGCCAACAATATGGTAATTTTTGTTAGCCACAAATTATGAGGTGCTGTAGTCTAGAATCTGATTGTATGTGGGTGATACATGTTTGTTATTGTAGCTCTCTTACATTTAGACAATAATGACAATTCAGGTTGTAAGCCGAAGATATTGTACACTTTAGAAATGTCAGTGTGATATGGTGGTGGAGAACTTGAATTTAAATCGGAAGCTTTTATATGATACTATGATAGTATTTTTTGTGATTTTAATTTTTGGTTAGCCCCAAGCAGTTGGTGGTTTATGACCCGAGCATCCAATTAGCTCTGCTTAAATATCATTGAAGCCCTTCTATTGAAGGCTTCTTCCTTAGCCTTTTCATGCATATTTTTCCAGGCTGCTCTTTTATGCATATTTTTCAGGCTGCTGCTTATGTCTTACGAAATGTAATTTCTTCCATCATGAATTGTAACATGAAGCTAATAGCACACATAATTTCATGAAGAATGTGCCCTAGATTTACAGTTACCTTTTGGTATTCTAATGAAACTTCTTGATAATATTTTTTCCTTTTAAAACTTCAAGAGAGTGGTTTGGAGTTCTTGCAGAGTAGAACCATGCATATTTGTTTAAGGTTTATCTTCGCATGTCTCCAGCAGGATGATGGTACTGCATGGACGGACGAGAAGCACAATTTATATCTTCATGATTTGGAAGTGTCATTTGCCGAACAACTATATCACTCGAAGGCTTTGCTGTCGCAGTGCTCAGAGCAGAATCTGAGAGATGTGAATATATCTAAAAAGCGGTTGGCTGATGTGAAAAATGCTTCTGAGCAGGTTGAGCAATGCTTTGAAGCCCTTTATCCTTTTCCTTATTGCATATCCAAACCGCAGAACTTGTAAAATGAAATTTTATTCTTGTTTTTTGGCAGTTTAAAAAACCCTTACAGAATAGCTGCTTGCAGAAGATTAGCTACGTCAAGGGTGGGCCTCTTTTTGGTAGTTCCACAACAGATTTGTCAACCCCTTTTACGAGTACAAGGGGTTACAATTTGAAGAATAATTGCTATCTGCCATCAGCTGAATGGGCTGCTTCTCGGGAGGTGTGGAGCGCTCTGAAACACGTGAAAGGAACAATATCTCATAGATTAGGAACATGTTCACAGGAATATTCCTCCAGTGATCCATACCTTGGGGATTCATTTGACTTGCAGAGAGGTGATTTTAACTCAACCTTGTTGCTTTGTGAATTTTATACTTTCCTATTCCATGTTTGAGGAAGGAGGTGAAACTTTTGAAACTCTGACCGACTTTGCCCTCTTGCTTAAGTGAGTTTTTGCATCACGTTATTGTCCTTTTAAATGAATTGAGTGAATAGAAGTATTTTGTCATTCATTTGCCAAAGTAACTGATGATGGAAAAGAATGTCCTTTCTTAAATTTATCACCAGTGAGTCCACTCAGGCATGTACAAGCACCTGAAATATTCAATTTTTATTTATTTATTTTTTATTTTTTCGTTCTTCTGGTCATTTGCCATTTTGAATTTCATGTTGGCTAATAAGATCAGAGTGAGGAATGAGGATAAATAGCAAATAGGTAGCCACACATGTAATATTCATATCTTATAAACCTTGATTTATGTGAAGGTTACGTTGTGTGTTTTGGTCTGACAACTATCCCATTGATATTGTTCTAGCAATGAGTTGACAGAGTTCCTTTAATTGTAATCTATTACTCAGGCTACATGCACCTGGAAACTGCAAAATTCCAAAACGCATATTTGTTTTATCTGCAATGATTTAGGCTCATATTACCATTGTATATGCTGAAATTAATAATGATTGTTTTATATTCCTTAAGTGGACCTGCCTACCCATATCCTATATTTACAGCCAAAGAAGAAAATGAATATGAAACATGGAAGGTGCATTGCTCACAGTTGCGTGGGGTTTGGTACTCCTGAGTCCTGAATGAATGTGCATAATCAGAGATTAGCAGTTGTATTTTGTTTTTGAGTTTCTTGGATAATATGACAAGCAACAGGGATTATCATATGTACTTTTGTCCACTTACGTGTAGTAATGCCACACTTATTCAACTAGTTGTGATTTAACCATTAGTGAGAAAAAATGTTCTCAGCCACTATAATTTGCTAGAATTGATTCTCCGTTTTCTTTATATGTACTGACTGGAAAACCACCATGTTACTGATTATTCATCCTTTCGTTTTCGACTGGAAATCGAATTGTTGTCGTTAATATTTCTGCAGAGGGTACTGGGCAGAATTTTCCAGATGAAGGCACATCAAATTTTGAACCACAGGCAAAAAGGTCGAAAAACGCTGTAGCAGAGAGTTCTCTTCAGGACCAAGTAATCCTTAGAGTTAATTTGTGCTTTTTTTTTCTCAACATACAGAAACTCGATTTTTAAAATTTCACCTCAATTCTTATATATATTCTGTTCTTTCCAGATTGTTCCTTCCTCAAAATGCCCCACAGCAAATTATCCAGGTATTGGCATCTCCAATCTTGATTGAAAACTAGCAATCACGAGCCCTCGTTGAAAATTTCGAAAGAAGCATATATAAATATATTTTTTACGTCGCTAACGGTCAATGGAAAAATATTCCAGATACTGACGGTTTATAAAGTGAAAAGTGATGCAAATTCTTGATGAGCTTTGCATGAACTCATGGATACTATAGCGTCTGACTTTCTGTTCGAATGAATTCGGGACCTTACGTTCTTGCAGTGCATTCATTTATTTGTCCTGTAGACGAGCTGTAGTAAATGTAGATGCATAATTATTTACATTCATTTACTGGTGCAAAAGAAATTGAATTTATGTTGTCCATCTGGGCAGAATGTTATATGGATGAGATTAGGCTTCATAATTTCAACTTTAGTGGTTTTGTGATTTTGACTTTTGTGAATGTATGTATGGGATTTTGGCTTGGACCATCTTTTGTTGACTTTGTAACTTCTTGAATTCGATCTATTTCCTTGTTGGTTGAGCGAGTAAATGCTTATAAGTTAGGAGAATGCTACCATTTACTGGATGATTCCGTTGTCTTTTTCAACCGTAGATTACATACACATTACTAGATTACACGTATATCTACGGCTACAAAAGACAACGGAACCATCCCGTACGGGATGGTAGCATTCCCCTATAAGTTATGATAATCAGTGCTGCACTTTTCAAACTTCAAAATAATCTTAAAACTAGGGGCCCTTATATTCAAAATAAGCCTTTAGATCTATGAAATAGTAGATTTTATGCTTGGCATGGTTATCAACTTACCACTATCATTGTGGGGTCATAAATTTATAAGGGATGAGATTTACTTTTTGAAAATTGTGTTTCAAACTTCAATTTGTGTTTCGCTTCATTTGATAAATACACGTTTTCCGTATGAGTAACAATTAGAATCGTGTCAATTATTTAACGGAGTAAAATAAAAAATGAAACATGATTTTGAAACATGATTTTATTCCCATAAATAGACATACTTGAGAAGTTGAACATACTTTATAATTCAAACAAACTTAACAATTTTGTTTATTTCAAATCTTGTTGAACTTGGAATCATTCTAATTTGGTTGATAGTTCAAGTAAATCACGCGCCCCTCCGAAAACTCTCAGACTTTCTAGTTGGCCTAAAGGGATTTACACTCGAATTTCTAGTGTACCTACATTTGGGTTTGTTGGTTGTAATTTACATGAGAACTCACCAGTTTTGTTATGGAGCCATCAGATGACTCAACTTATGGAGTCATCCATAGTTATTCACAAATGATGTACTGACGCGTGTCTTGCCATAAATGCACATTGAACATGTATCGGTACATAAAGTTATGGATGACTTCATAAGGGTGTCATTTGATGGTTCTATAGAATTTCTGGAAAACACACAGTGTAGTTGAATTTTAGAGTTTGAACTTATCATGTTGAATCATCATTTTAAATTACACAACTTTCTGTCTTTTATTTCAAACATTGTGGTAACTTTAAGATTTTTATCATCGATACTTGAGAATTTGAGATGATAAATACTGTATAAGTTTCTACTAGTTAGAAATATAGCTCTTAAAATCTAATTATACGGACAGATTGAAATAAAAATCAATTAATGAACTATTGAATTCACTATAAAAAATTGGTTGCCAACGAATTGGCTTGGAAGGACTCAACATAAACTGTCTGTTTGGGCGAGTCCAATTTATTATTGGTAATATTTTTTTAATAAAATATTTCGTATTATACGAAATATTGTTAATACAAAAAATTACACATATAAATATTCCAATTTATTATTGGTAATATTTTTTTAATAAAATATTTCGTATTATACGAAATATTGTTAATACAAAAAATAATACATATAAATATATTGTATTTGTAACAATTATTACATGAA